TAGTAAGTCTTGCTATTATAATTAGGTCGCCTCGATAGGCTATTAGTAGGGTTACTTACGCCTAGCCGATATAATTTATTAAAATCGAACCTAGCGAGGTAGACGGCCTATCTAGCCTATCGACCTATAACCCTAGTAACCTTAGTAATACTACAGAGGTTGTTATAGTCCGTATAGACCTAAATAGTATGCTATACACTATCGAGATAGTAGCGCTAGTGCTTAAAGGCTTCTACGATTGCTAAGAGCTCTTACTCGTAGGTCTTATATCGGCGCTCTATATCGATTATCTTTCGTAAGAAGAAGGCAATCGGGTGCTAGTAGGTGTTATTAGCCTATTATAACATAATAGCTAATATAGCGAACTGTAAAGCGTTAGTCTTAATATAGATCTACCTACTTAGTACGAAATAGTATAGTAAGGGAACTTTAGTAAAGCGTTGCTTTAAACTATTAAAAGCGGCTTGTACTCTATTAGTCTATTTAAACTCTCTAGTCGGGTCAGCCTTAGTTTTAGTAAGCTTAGTTAGGGGTATTACGTATCGCGAATAGCCTTTAATAAAGCGGCGATAGAAATTAGCGAAGCTAAGGAACGACTACAACTCCTTAATGCTAGTAGGTATTAGCTATTTAGTAATGGTTTTAATCCGATTAGGGTTAGCCTTTACACTATTAGTTAATACGAGGAAGCTAAGGAAGGGCACCTCTTTAGTAGCGAAGGTGCATTTAGAGGGCTTGTAGTATAAGCTATAGGCCTATAGGCGGTCGAGCACCTTACGTACTATAACCTAGTATTCTATAATATTAGGTAAATAGGTGTGAACTAGGATATTATCTAGGTAAACTATATAGAGGTAGTCTAATAGGCCTAAAAGGGCCCGATTAATATAGGCCTAGAATGTTATAGGGGCATTAGCTAGGCCGAATAGCATAACTAAGTACTTAAAATAGCTATAGCGAGTACGGAAGGCCGTCTTCTATTTATTACCCTTACGAATACGAATACGGTAATAGGCGTCCTTAATGTCTAATATAGTATAGAAGTAGACGCTAGAAAGGCGATCGAGGGTCTTATTAATAAGCGGAAGTGGATAGCGGTCTTTAATAGTAATAGCATTAAGTCTACGGTAGTTAACGTATAAACGTAGGCTACTATCCTTCTTAGGAACAAACAGGATTAGTGCACTAGCAGGGCTGTTGCTATACTAAATTCGACTATTAGCTAGGTTCTTATCTAGGTACTTACATAGTATAGCAAGCTCGCGTTTACTAAGGTTATAGAGAGGCCTAAAGGGGACCTCTTTGCCCTATATAATATCGATCTTATAGCCCGTCTCTTTAAATATAGGCAATGTCGATGCTAGGTAGTATTTAAACACATCGATATAGGTCTCTCGAATAGGCTATAGTATACGAGCGAGCTAATTAGGGTCTATGCTATTAGGGGGCATAGGTTTATTGTTATCTCCTAATAGGTCGACTATTAGGTTAGCTAAGGTAGAGGCTAGTATTAGGTTGCTAATAAACAGGACCCTAATATCGTTAGGGCACTCGCTAGCATTAATATATTTAATATCCTCTTTCCTAGCGATTCTAAATCGCTACTATTAGCTGCCTAGGTCTATAGCTACGGCGTAGTGTTTAAGGACAGGGTTGCTAATAATAATAGTAGCTCCTCTATATAGGTTGTCTATATCTACTGCGTAGGCAGTAAAATCTAATAGGCGTTTATTTCCGAGGTCGTCCTTTAGAACTATAGGAATATAGTAGGCCCTATAGGTTAAATGCCGAGCATTATTAAACTAAGCAAGGGTTAGTAGGTTAGCTCTATTCAATTGTCGAAAGTCTAATTGCTTAGCTAGGCGATAGCTAATAAGGGCACTAACGGAATTGCCTAGGTCTAGTATAACCTTAGTATTATAGTTAGTACTATACGTATCCTATATAAGACAGGTGCGTATAATAGCTAGCACAATATCGATAGTCTTACGCCGTATAAGGCTAACAGTTAGTGCGGCGCTTATTCTTTTTTCGAAGGTTAGCCTATAGGGGTAGCGTTAGCTACTAAGAGGTGCTTTCGGTACTTAGCGGTAGTACGGTCGATTCGGGCCTAGTCCTTAGGTTTGTCGTATTAGCCTAGCAGATAGCTAGTACTATCGCAGTTAAAGCACTTTAATCCGGTTAGGGGATTGCTATAGCCGCTATTACTGCTATTGTTAGTTAAGCGATTAGTATTGTAGGGATACGAGCCCCTTCTACGGCCCCTATTACGGCCTCCTCTATATAGCCGCCGGCTACGGCCTCTTCTATAGTCGTTGTTACTATTCCTATTATTAGCATTATTGTTTTAGTAGGAACCTTAGTTTCTACTACGGCTACGGTTGTTAGCGGCTAGTCGTATCTTAGATTCTAACCGTTACTAAAGCTATACTATACGCTCTATAGTTTCGACTTCTACTATAAATTAAATGCGTATAAGATTAGCCTATTTAAATATACGGCGGCGGTCTAATTTAAGGACTAATTCCTATCTTAATTTAGGTCGTACTTCGGAGATCTAAATAGAGTCGGTCTTAGCTAGCAAATCGTCTTTAAGGATCTTTAAATAGGCCTCGAAGGATCGAGAGGATTAGTCGGCCTTTTGCTTAGTACGTAGGTACTAGTCCTGTGTATATTGCTGTCGTAATGTGGGGTTGCTAAGGGTGTTTAGTATAATAGTCTTGTAGTCTTGCTATTAAATAGCGGTCTAGTCGTAAAGGGAATTAAAATAGTTATCCTATATACGCTTAGGGTTACCGTTAATGTACTATATAGTATAGACGGCTAGGGAATAGTTATTTAGTAGCGCTCTCGGTGCATTACGCTAGTTAAGCTTATAGTTACGAATATAGTTATTGTATTGCTTTTAACTAGAGCTATTAAATACAGTGCAATCCTTAAGTTTAGTATCCTTCTTTTAAATAGTTAGTAAGGAAGGCCCTACTATTAGCTTAGTATTAGTTGCTAGGGACTTCTATAGGCGGCGAATCTCGAGGAGATTATCCTTTAGCTATTGTTCTTAGCGTAGAGTAGCGAGCCTATTCTAGGTAGCTTCTTAGAGTCTCGCTACTAGCTAGGGGCTAAAGGCTAGTTAGCTATATCGTCGATTAATAATATTGTTGAGAATGTCGTTAATAGGCAATTCTAGATTATTACCTAGGACTATAGGTTCTTCGGTAGGCCTAGTAGTAGGCTCTTTAGTAGGTGCTTTAGTAGGCACTTTAGTAGGTACTATACTACTAGCGTTGTCGTTGCTAGCGCTACTAGCGGCGCTGCGGTTATTATTGCTTCGTAACGAGCCGGCTATTATAATAGAGGGTAGGACTAATAATATATTATAGCCCCTTATAGTGCGGATATAGCGGAATTAGTAGGTATTAGCTTAGTGCGATTAACTTAGTATAATAGGCCGTATAGAAGGCCTTGCTTAATAATTAGTACGGTTGTTTTAGTAGAATAGTACGTGTAGGTCCCGTTCTTCGGGCGTAATATAGTCAAATCGATAGTTTTCGTAGCTATACCGCTAAAAGCTTAAAATAAGGACTATCTAGCTACTACCCTTAAAGAGTAGATCGAATACTATATAATAAGGGTTATATTAGTAGGTAGATAGGGTAGTAGTAGGTACGAGTAGTATTCGATAGAGATCTAGGAGAAGAAGGAGGAAGGTAGGCTAGTTAGCCTAACGCTAAGCGCTAAGCCCTACCTAAGGTACTAAGACCCTAGCTTTACTCGAGCTAGTTATATACTAATTATATATAATCTCTAATAATATACTAGATTATACTAAGATTGTATAGTAGGAACTATACGTTAATACGAGGGTCGTAGAACCTTATTTGCTTAGTAGGTAGTATACCTAGAATAGAACTTAGGATTAGCTATAGTATTAAATTCTACGTCTATCATTTACTTAATCCTTCTTTCCTACGTTATTATTCTACTAAGCAGCTAGCATAGGCATTAGAAGTCACTATGCGATGTTTTATAGTATAGATTACTAACAATGTAGTCTCACCGAGACCGGAGCAGCCCTAGGTCCGTAGATTCTCGAATAACCGGAGTGGGTTCTCGAATAGCCTCGCCCGTGGCCAGAACTTCTCGAAACAACAGTAACCCAGAAGTGGCTGGATTTCTTGCGTGATTTGATTCTCCATCATGTCCAGCTCTGCGGTATAAGCCTCAGCCCATTCCGTGCTCCAACTTTGGTCTTGCTCAGAGGGGTCGAATGCGTTTTCCATCCTGGAGCTGATGCTGACTCTGCCTGCCATACTGATACGGAACGTGGTTCATGATTCTGTAGGCGTGACAAGCTTTATATAGAAAACACTCCCAATGATGATTCCCTATGAGTTTTGATGGTGGATGTCGGATGGAAGTGTCGCGTTTCGGAATGCGAAGTCGTCGATCTTCCGGCCCCACCGCAACAGGATTCAGCATGATCAGAAGGGGTGAGTGATAGAGCGCACGAACGAGAAATTTTGCAAAACATATGCGATGGGACAAGGTCGAATTATTCACGGGGATACTTCTGAGGTATACTACTGATCGCCGATGGATTCCACTACCGCTGGCGGTGACCAGGACTTGTACTCGCCAAATCCGTCAAGTGTTGCGAGGAATCTTGCAATCAGGATGTATGCCAGATCGCCCCTTGCGAGAATTGGAGAACGTGGATAGCAACATCTCCCATCTCGCTGGCATGTATCCTTGTGGCCGTAACCGAATCTTGTCATCTAAGACCGTGATTCTAGTCTTTTGGAAAGAACCGTCCAGCATAATTGGTTCGTAGGAGTGTAACCGACACGAGGTTGCTTGTGAAAGATTCATGTATGACGTCCGTATCCTCAGGCAGCTGAATCACGTTGTCCAGTCGTCGTTGGAAAGGCTGAGCGTAGCGAATCTGAAATTGTAGACTGTCGATTGATTTTTATTATGAACAAGTACTATTTATAGACCCTTCACTTCGAAGAAGCATTACCGCCGCCCTTGCAACCTTCCCATCGTTTTGACGCTGAACCCAGGCCCGTATTCAAATCTTCGTGTTCCATGCCGACACTGCTGATCGTCTTCTGGGCTACCGTGGTCGTTGCGCCAGGATCTGTAACAGTGACAGTGATCGTAACCGCGCACTGCGAGCTCGAGCTCGATTCGGTAGTCGGGATCACAGGTATGATTGTGATCCCTGGCAGAGCACTGTAAGTCGACAATGCACTGCTAGAAGCTGTTTCCGGCCTTTGCGTTACGACATATGGCAGACCGCTCGGCTGTTGGGTTTCTTGTGATGGCACGGCGCTCGCGGAAGTCGTGGTAGGTGATGGATCTGAGCTTGACGGGCTCTCAGGAGTGTAGACGAAGGACGTCTGGAGCGAAGGGTTTGATTGCGAGGCTAAGGATTCTGCTACTGTCGCTGTGCTTGTAATCGAGGATCCATCAATAGATGATGAGTAGTCCAACGCAGTGCTGCTGCGTGAGGATGTCGATGTTGTGGTGGGCTGAGTGCTTGGATTGCTCTCTACAGCCGTGCTGCTATAAGCCGCTATCGACGTTGACTGAGGTGCGGCGGACTGTTCCGAGCTAATAGTGCTGCTGAAACTTGACGCATACAAAGTCGTGTATAGAGTCAAAGTAGTGCTACTAGTCGGCCCATTTGAACCACCATTTGCATCTGCGGTCGATGACAAGGCACTCGATGTAGGAGCAACACCTTTGTATGGCTGTACAGTCGTGTATAGTGTCAAAATTGTGGTACTCCACAAGATCGTAGGCTTGTTTGCCGAAGTGGTTGCGTAAATCTGACTTGCAGAGCTCGAGGGCTGTGGCTGAGAAGGAGCATAGCTATATGCCATAGATGTGTCTGCTGTGGCCGTTGTGGGATATGTGCTTGCCGCACTGTTGACACTGCTTGTGGAAGATGCTGGATCATAACTGAAGGAAAACGCCTTACTTGCAGAGGCGGATTGCGATGTTGAGCTTGGCGTGCGAGCTGGGTTGTTGCTATTGTAGGCTAGCAGAGTTGACGAAGAGCTCATAGACTGAGCGGAGGAGGAAGTCGGTTCATCGTGAGCTGAGCTGATCGACGATGAGCCCTCGGCATTATAGAATGTGAAGGGAGTCGTGGTTGATCCTGCAGAACTTGGCGAGATGGCGTTCGATACAGCGTTGACATATCTTGGATATATGAGAGGTCCGGCTTGAGTCTTTGTGGCGCAAATGATGAGCAGTAGAACGTCCAGCGCGGTCAGCATTCTGTCTTGCGTGCAGCGCTAACGGAAAATGATGTATCAAGGAATTAGTAAAGGCGGTCTGAAGTCCAGCTTCAGCGGCGGCAACAGAAACGTGAGAAGAGTAATAAAGAGAGTGTGACACAGAATCCAGAAAAGACGCTGTTTGCAGTGCTGCAGGTGAATGAGAGAAAGGAAAGTGAAGATGTTGAGTGTTACCGTGGCAGTGTCCGGCTAGGTCTTAGACAGCACGATGCTGCCATCTCGAGACTTGGACGTGTCGGCTGGCATTGGGGATAGGATAGCGAAATGGTGCAGGGCCGTGGCGTGGACTGTGCGAGGTCTATTCATACAGGGCGCGTCGAGAGGACGTGTGCGAAGGTGTGAGGTGCATAGATGTCTCCTCACGTGTCAGGATGCTGGAGCGTTTGTGCGGTCTGGCGCTTGGATTGGTCGGAATGCTCTGCGCTTCCCGCCGAACACCTCGAGCTCGGACGACACGTTTCAGTAGCGCGGCACGGCGAGGTCGAGTGCAATCTTGCTCCACGACGAGACTCATCTTTGTCGATGGCTGTGTGGAGGGGGCGGTGGTGGTGGTGGTGGTGGTGGTGGTGGTGGTGGTGGTGATGCTGGCGGTGGACGTGCTGCAGAGAAGCAGTCGATGGAGGAAAGAAACTCAAACAGCTGAGATGTCTCGCGTTGCCCCGCACGACTCCCGCGGCGGCCCGCCGTTGACGCCGGGACGCAAATTGAGCTCGAGCTTCCGCGAAATCATTGGCCCGCCCTGACCGGTCACTTCAATGCCAGTTGCCAGCTTATTCACATTCACGAATCCAGCGACTTCCTTTGCGCGCATCATAGGAGGTGAAGGTATGAGGTAGAACTAGACTACGGGCAGTCTTGCTTCAGCACTCCTTAGCCGAGCGCGCCATACCACGCATCTTCTCCGGCATACTACCCACCATGTCGGTCAGAGTCGTCGCGCGTATTCGGCCCCTGCTGAAGAACGAGATCGAGAAGGATGTCATTGTCGAGGCGGCCAAAGCACCAGGCGAACACGGCGAAAGCAAGACGATTGTCAAGATCCCAAATGCAAAGACGGATGCCGAGCTATACTCCTTTCAATTCAACAGCGTGTACGATCAGCATGCCACACAACAGGACATCTTCGAGAATGAAGGTCAGTCGCGTTGAGAAGAAGAGGCCTCTGGAAAGCCATGCTAACACGCTTCAGTCTCGCCCACAATCAAGCACCTCTTCAAGGGCTTCGACGTAACTCTCTTCGCCTACGGAGTCACCGGCACTGGAAAGACACATACCATGCGAGGCGGAAAAGCATTAGCAGATCGAGGCGTGATACCTAGACTGCTTTCAAGCATATACCGCCGCGCACGCAAAGTGGAGAAGGACACAGCAGGCGAGACTTCCGTCCAAGTGTCCATGAGCTACTACGAAATCTATAACGATCGCGTCTACGACCTCTTCGAGCCTCCGGAGAAGCGAACACCTGCTGGTCTTCCAATCCGAGACAATTCGAGTGGAAAGGCTGTCGTCGTTGGCTTGACCGAGCGGCCATGCACAACGCTGAAAGAATTCGAGCGACTATACGACGAAGCGAACGTGAACCGATCCACTTCCGCCACCAAGCTCAACGCGCACTCTTCCAGATCCCACGCCATACTGTGCATCAAGGTCAGCCAGACATCAGGAAACGAGATACGGGAAAGCACAGCTTCAGCCATTGATTTGGCAGGATCTGAAGATAATAGGCGGACTGACAACAACAAGGAACGTTTGGTAGAAAGCTCGGCTATCAACAAATCGCTGTTCGTGCTTGCCCAATGTGTGGAGGCCATCTCCAAGAAGCAAGCGCGCATACCATACCGCGAGTCGAAAATGACTCGCATCCTGGCTCTGGGCCAGAACAATGGCTTGACCGTGATGATGCTCAATTTGGCGCCGGTCCGGAGCTATCACTTGGATACACTCAGCAGTCTTAATTTCGCCAACCGAACGAAGAAGATTGAAGTCAACGAGATTGAGAACCAGCCCTTCTTCCGAGATCAAGGCGACAAGAAGAAGTCAGACGGCGCTGCTTCAATTGCCGCAGCTTCTGCTATGAACAGGCAGCCACTACGACCAAAGATTTTGTCTCACAACTCTCATCTCAAAGATGTCACGAATACCGCCAAGCCGACTAAATCTTTCGCCGTCTACGCCGACAAGCCAAAGCCCAAACTTGCGACTCTAGCCAACTCCGGCCAAGCGAGAGCTGTTCCTCCGTCTATCAAGTCACCAAAGCGAACTAGTAGTGAAGCCATGTACACACTTCCTAGGCCGTCGAAGTTCTCCAAAACCAGCGCCGAAGCCGGCATGTCGAAAGACGCGATAGAGGCGCTGATCGAGCGGAAGGTGACTGAGGCACTAGCCGGACGCGTGGACCAGACGACAATCACTGCTCAAGATCCAATTCCTGATGAAGTGCAGAAACGGCTTGACGCGCTGGAGAAACGTGTCGAAGGTCAAGAGACGGAGCGAGCGGAAGGTCTGCAATACCTGCTCATGGCCAAGCAGCATCAGGTCAGAGGCGAGGATGTTAGCGCGCTGAAGATGTATCAGCTTGCTCTGCCGCATTTCCCGGGCAATGAGAAGCTTATACGCAAGATGGCTGTCTTGCAGGACAAGATTGATGCGAAAAAAGCCGAGAGACACGCGTCTACCGCGACAACCTTTGAATATCCTGCAGTAGAATCCCGCCCAATTCATCGATTGCTAGCACGACGAAAGCCGAGACCGGATGAGGAGGATCAAAGCTATCACGAAGCCCAAGATGGGGATGCATACGATGAAGACGACGGATTTGCGTATCGGCCACGCACCAAGATACGACGACCAAAGCTACCACAGCACTCATCATCGCCCAGGTCAGGCCTAAAACACTCGCCGCCACCTGAAGGAGATTCGGATGACGAGCTGGCCGCTTCCTTGATGGCACAGACTCCACGTACTCGACAGCTTCTCGAAATCATCAACACGAAGGATGTCAGCCAAATCAAGTTGCTCAAAGGTGTTGGTGCAAAAAAAGCCGAAGCAATCGTCAATTGCCTCTGCGATCTTGATGATAGTGTCAACTCTCTGGGACAGCTTGGCAAGCTGAAAGGCGTGGGTGTCAAGACAGTTGAAAATATGCGTTCAGGTCTACTTGCTTAGAAGGCCTGAGGGTCTTTTCGTATCCTTGTACTTTCGGCTTCTGGAGTTTGTTTAGATCTCGCAAAGCAAGCACGGCGTTGGGGAATTTCTCTAAAGAGATGGGTAACGGCCTTTGGATAGCTCAAGGCTGATCAAGTGCCTTTTCTGCAACAGCGGACACGGAGTTGTCCTGCTTTCCGCGATATCAGTTAATCAATCGACAGTGCTACTGTTCCAGCTTTAAGCACTTCCATTTCCATGTCATCACGCCCATAACTCCCTCCTCCTCAACCTCTCAACCCCCATCACCCCTTCAGAATCTTTCCAACTCCCATCATCAACCCATCCCTCTTTCATCACCCCGTCAACCAGAATACTAAAAGCATCTAACCAACTCCCATACGGCAGACTAGATCGTTCAATCACTCCGCCTTGAGCATCTAGTCTTTCGACTTCGGTATTCAGAACGCCCCGGAGTTTCAGAAGGAGATCCCTATCAGTGTCCTCCTCCTCTTGTCTCGGCATCGCTGCGAGGATACAGGCAGAGGACATCGTACAATGTAGTAGCGACCAGGAGGTGAGAGCAAGTGGTGAGAGGAGATTGCGGAGTTCGAGGAATGAGTGAATGACGGTGCGGAGGTGCTTTACCATTGAGGTGTGTGATGCTTTTCTTTCGGTAGATGGCGTCGTTGGGTCCAAGGTTAGGTGGCGGAGGAGTGTGGAGTGGAAGTTTGAGGAGTGGATCTTTTGGAAGAGGGATTCGAGACGTGTTTGGATTGTTGTTGTTGGTAGGGTTGATGTTCGTTTGGTAAGGGTTTCGAGTCTCGTAATGTTGGTTTTAAGGGTGGTAGGGTCGGGTTGAGAGTTTGTTGTTGTGGTTTGGAAGGAGACGATTTGGGCGTGGAGGTCGTGCATCAGGTTGTGGAATGTTGAGGGCGTGCGTGGTATTGGAGATGATGGATTGGGAAGATTCGAGACTGATGGTCGATCAAAGGCCAGGGAGAGCGTGGATTCGAGAGACATGATCGCTTTCCTGGAAGATGTTGGTGAGTGGACTTGGCGGAGATCAAACCCATTTAGTATGAACGTACCACAGAGGATGGACTTCGCCTTGACCCTGCGAGATGGAGGTCTGAGGAACATGCAGACCCAAAGATCGGGCTTGCTGAGTGACGAGCCCCACCAGACTCAGAGCAACACCAGGATTGCAATCATTCGCAATCGTGCTGGCGATTAAGAGCAAAGCCTGGATGACTTCTGTCGAAGGACAGCCGTACAGATTCGCCAACCTTAGACACTCGAAAGCGCAAGCAACTAGCACACATATCAGCACCAGTCCTCACGTCCGGTCAATGAATCTCACCAAAAACTCTCGTCCTCGGCAACCTCTCTTTCACATCTGCGTCGGAGAATTGACAACCAGCAGCCAGAATACCAAAGAACATCCCATACCATGCAGCATCTCTAAAGGTCCCATCAGTGATGGCAGCCTCCAACGCAGCTTCTAATCCCAGCTCTGCCAGTTTCGGCAAGAAAACACACAAACGACCCTCAAACGCTTCGAGATCCATTACAAAAGGGTAGAAAGGCGCCACGACTTTCTGATATGTTCGATAGTACGTCATACATATTTCCGTGGCTGGCAAAGCTTGGAGAATCTCCTTGAGATTGGTTGTGCCTGCCGCTGTCCAGAGGGACCCAAAGGGATGCAGGGTCGTACGGTTGGTGAGACCGAAGGCAGCGCCCCAGGATACATTGAAGGGCATGAGGGTGTCGGATATTGGAATCTTGGTTTGTGGGTGGGTGAGTTTGGTGAAGAATGTTGCCGAGCAGTTTCGGCCTAGGAACACGGTCTCGCCAGTCCAGCGATCGGTTTTGATCATGTGTTTTAAGGTAGAGGAGGTTTTGTCAAGGCTTTGGATGAGTTCATCGCCACCATCGGTGTCGTCTTCTTCTCCTCCGGTCTGATTATTCGGTAATGGAATTGATGACAGCGCGTCGTTGGATCGGACGTCGAATGTCTGATCGAAACCACGGGTATCTCGTGTCTCTAGGCTGGGTGAAGACCATGATATCGTAGGCTGTGATCGTCTGAGGGCGATGGGTCAGAATCTTTGAAGCGTGGCTCCGGGTGCAACTTACGAAGAGACTTGAGCTGCCACACTAGGCAGCCTCCGTGTAGCATACACGCACAAATCAGGATGACTACGTCTGATACAAGTGTCGCACTATCGTTGAAAATGCAGTATTAGCATTGAAAGCGCTCCGACGGGTTCGTTGATTCATTGCTTACAGGCTCCTCCTGGTCGCATCGAACTTTGCGATCTCTACAGGGCTGACAGGCTTTCGGTCGACGATTGCGTTTCTGCTTCGGCTTTTCCATGCTATGCAAGTTGCAAGCATTCGATATCCCCGAGCAAGGCTGCTGCAGTGAGGTTGTGACTCGGGGAGGTAGTGACATTTTGCAAAGCAATGCGTCCGCATTTACCTAGTACCTAGTAGCTGAGCGCTTAAAACAGGCCGCTATATGTTACGGATACAGGCATGCCTTCACAACCAGGGCACGTGAGTCTTGGCGTTGATGCCTTAGGCAGCAATCTTCTCGATATGGTCGCTTCTCGCGTTTGCGAGAAGGCATCTCTCTCTACACTTCGTCGACTATAGCTAGTACGAATATAATATTTACTTACTATTACTCCTTAATAGTACGAAGTGTCGCCTATCTTTAGAAGACCTTAGACTCTTATATTAGAGATACCGCCGTCTTGCTAGTAGTACGTAGACCTACCTAAAATGTGCTATAGATTGCCGTATAAGTAATCTAAGAATTACGAAGCGGCCGCTCGTAGGTATAATATAAATATTAGAAAGTTAGGCATCTAGGTATACCCGGGTTTTTAATTTCTACTAATTATAGCGAAGGTTAGGTACTATAAACTAAAAGAGATATAGTTAAAAGTTAGAGCCTAAGGTATCTAGCATTTTGATTTCTACTAATTAGAGCGCGCTAAGAAATCGGACTACGTAGTATAACCTACGAGCGGGCTCCCCTTAGTTACCTAACCTTCGCTATACTTCGGGAGGTACTAGAGGTTACCCGCTTTATAAATTATAGTATTCGAGCTACGCTACGCCTATAGACGCCGTACTACGTAGGATCTATACTAGTCTATATTAAGCGCTCGCTCGAGCCTATTAAGAAGGTCTACTAATATATCCGCTATATATCCTAATAGGTAGTAAAGCGCTAGAATCGCCTTATAGTACGCGTCTACTATAGTACTTAATTAACGACTTCTCGACGCCTCTACTAACCTTATCGGATCGCTATAATAGTACTATAATACCCGTTATCCCTAAGACCGCCGAAGAACTCGTAGCTATTCTAAACGGTACGCCTATAGATACCCTATATACCTAGTTTTACCGCTGCCTTATTAACTACGAGATCTAGCTCCTAGACCTTAAGAACTAATATATCGATACCGAGAGTAGACGCGTAGATACTAAGAATATAGTAGTAGCCGCTAATACTAGTACTATAGACAAACAGACGTAATATAATAATATAATTTAGGTATATAACGACTGCGTAGCATACCTATAGAAGTAGTTTAACGACGCGAACGTAGAGGTCTAACGCCTTAATAGAGTCTTAGCTCGAGGAGGAGGCAGACTATAGCAATAATTCGGCTTTACGTAATAGTAGAAGAAGTCCGAGAAGTTACTAGACCTAGAAAAGTATAACGGAGATAGTAAGTCGGCGCTTAAGGTATAGATAATCGGTATCTTTCTTAAGCTTACTAGTAATACCGATCGATATCCGATACTAGAAAGCTAGTTGTCTTATATATATAGCCTATTAGGACTAAAAGCTCGTCTTATCTTAGTTTACTATATCGATATCGACTGCTCGAGTAGTATACCGCGTATTACTTTTAAGCTTAACTTAACCGCTAAGTTTAAGCGGGTCTTAGTTAATGCCTTCGGAGATACTAACGAGGAGGGTATAGCTCTTACGAAGCTTAAAGCACTAAAGTAGGATAGTAAGGAGTTCTCGTACTATCGTACTAAGTTTAATACCTTAAATCCTCTCGTAGGCTATACTAGCGTTACGAAGAAGGAGGAGTTCCGCGAGGGATTAAGTAAAGAGCTACGCGATACTTAGTCTAACTAGTAGGATACAAATCTCTTATCCTTTAATAATATCTATAAGCGCTTAGAGCTACTCGATTATTCTATTCGTAAGCGTAAGGCTAAAGTAAAGTCGTCTAGTACGTAGTATAGCTAGTTCTCGACCCCTTCTAACTCTAATACAAGTAATAAGTCTAACTAGTTAAGCTCTAACTACGGTAATAATAATAGCTATAGCTCTACTTTATAGCCTCGTCTACTCCCTCCGAACTCGTAGCGTCTATCTATACTAGCGCCGGCCGTATAGAACCTAGTCGCTAGTTCTAGTAGCACTTCGATAACCTCTAATAGTAGCGACGCGATAGACCTCTCTACGATAAATAGTAAGCGTCCCCTACTTACTTAAGAAGAGCGTAACGAGCGCTACCGAAAGAACCTTTATAGATACTATAGCGGAGCTAGTTACTAGAAGAGCGCCTACCTAAATACCTATAAAGGCTATACTACTAATATCTCGGCTATAGCTAACGGCGACGTCTCGTATAACTCTACTAATAGCGATATCGTCTCTATTTACGGAGGCGTACTAATTTAGGAAAACTCTTAGTCTCTAAGCAAAGTCGCTCTTAGAGACCCTTTAACGATAGTTACCTAGTTTAGTAAATACTAGTACTTCCTTCTAATTATACACTTTGCGTTACTTTAGAGCGTTTAGCACCTTGTCTATAGAGATACCTATAGTAGCATTATTACAAGACCTACGATTCTAATAATAATATCCCTTCGTAGAAGTTATATAATAAAGATTTACTTCGTATTAGCTCGCTAGCACTTAGGAAGGATTATTATCCCCTACTAGATAAAAAGCATTTAGTTCTACCCTATACTATATCTACCTCTAATTTAATAGAATATATATCCTATAGTATACTCGATCTTAGCTATACTAGCTACTCTTTTATAGATATTAACTACGCGTAAGACTTTAATCTACCTACGTTCGAGATACTACCTCGTTAACTCGAAGCCTTTAATAGCATAGCTATAGTACCCGTTACTTAGACAGCTCGTGCTACTCTAAATATCTAAGGATATCGCGAATATATTATATTCTACTTAACTAAGCTAGGTTACTACCCGATTATATTAGGTAAACTATAGCTTAAGTAATACGCTCCTCGTATAAAATTTAACTAGGACGTTATCCTATTCGACTCTAATTATTGTCGCTAATACTATAATAAACACTACGCTTAAATTCGCGTAGCGGGTATCGTGCCCGATAAGGAGCAACGAGAAACTACTAATAGCGGTTTATTGCTACTAACGCCGATAGAGAAACCTTAGCTATATAACCTAGAGCTATTAAAAATAAGGCACTAGGAATTTCGCGATACTATAAGCCGCTTAGTAATACCCTTCCGACTACCGCCTATACTACCTCTAACCTATAAACTAAGTAAGAACCGAGACGACGACTTTAGCGATAAGGAACCTACGTTACGAAAACTTTTTTTCTAATCGCGTCGATCCTGTTAATCCTGTCGATCCTAAGCGATTCTAAGCGATCCTAAGCGATCCTAAGCGACCGAGTCGCGACCCGACTTGTGCCTGGATCGCTTAGGATCGATAGGATCGATAGGATCGACGCGATCGATAGGATCGATACGGTAAATTTTTGTATATATAGGATCGCTCTAGGTCGCTCGCAGTCGCAGTCGTTAGTAGTGTTTATACTATTCGTATAGTGCTATATTAATACTTATCGACTCGTCGACTCGGTCGTATTAGTCGACTCGGTCTAAACTAGAATATACTAGTAGTACTACAGTTTTAAGTATATTACTATTATATTAACCGTCGTTACTATATGTCGCTATATCCTGTCTTATACGTTCTCTATAAACTATAAAATCATTCTTCGCCGCCTTAGTATTATTATACTCTATGTTTCAGAGGTGCGATTTCTATATACTCTATATAGTACGTTGCCTTTTTATTACTCGCCCGTAAGCCTTTATAGCTCGCATTTCCTTATCCTCCTACTCCTCGTCGTAAATTGTATTATACGTCTCGAAATTAACTATACTGTTAATATAGCGAGTCCTATACGGGGCGCCTTCGTCTACGGGTATAGCGTACAATGTGTAATAGACTAGTAGTAGGCTATATACCCGTCGCCCTTTAAGTCTACTATAGTATAGTAAAAAACGCCGTAGCCGGATTGTCGTTAGACTATACGTATCCTTGTACTCGCTCTTATCGTTAATATAGTCGTAAAGCTTAACAAAAACGCCTATAACGGGCCTCCGTTTCGTCCTAAGCCCCTTCCTATATTTGATTCCTATTTCTATATTAATCGAGATTACGTACTTTAGTTAAGCTAGTAGGCGACCGCCGAATCGAACCGCTGATTTATTAGGTGTTTCTATACAATTAACTTTGTATTCCTATACCTATATGAAATTATAACGTCTGTTACCGTAGAGCCCCTCCTAGTTTAGTATATATCTCGCGAAGTCGGCTACTACTACGTTAGGATGTTCTATATCCTTACCTATAGGCTTCTAGCATCGGATTCTACCGTAGAAGCAGATCTCTATATCTAGGACGTATATACAGTCCGTTATAATGTCGTTAGGGTCGGCTACGGTGCTTAGTGCGCTATTCTTATCGTAGGCACCCTATTGCTATACGAATACCGCAATCGCTTATTAGAAGTCGCGACCTAAGTTCTCTTCTATTGCAGCTATAGCCTCCCTTATCGTAATCTACTTAACCGATTTCTTTCCGTCCCTCTGTTTCTTAGGCTAGTATCCTAGGATGTCCTCTACTAGCCGTACTATAGTTAGTATTATTAGCTGTTGCGTATACTCCTTAACAGTGCGAGTATTTATAGGGATTACTATATATTCTTTGTCGTCTTCGGCCTGTATATTTAATCTATTAGTATCGCTATCTAGTATACTTTCTTCCTCGCTAGGCTTCTTGTTTGTTAGCCGAAATGCAAGCTTTAGTAGTTTATAGTGTTTGTGCTCGAAATGGCTAGTATTTAAGTCTAGAAGATTGCCGAACGTCTTAATATAGCTTAGGGTATGTGTTATACCGTAGAATTTCGGTATATTAAAGTGCCCTTCTATTTATGTTATTATTAGCTCGTTAGCTTCGTCGTCCTCGTCTGTTATAACCGTATCGTCGTTATTTAGGTCGTTCGTTCTTCGCGTAGCAGCCTTCGCCTCCCGCTAGGCCCTCTTCTATACCTTTATTACCCTATATAGGCGAAACACATTCTTCTATTTGTTTATCCGGTACAATGCTATCCTAAGA